CATTTATCATCTCTCTATTCCTGAACATTTTAACTGCCTTTCAACTACAAGTATTACTGGAAAATAATTCCAACCATCTTAAGGGAAGAGTCAAAAGATTAAAATTGGAATGAGAAACTATTGTAAGGGGCCGGCCGAGTGGCTCAGTTGGTTAAGAGCTCGCTCAAGAGTTTGAGCTCTGAGCAACAGCGGTTCGAGTCCAGCCCGAGCTGAGCAGCCGCTGAGCTGCCAATAGGTAGCAGGATGGCTCAGCTAAAAAGAAAAAAAAAAAAAGAAACTATTGTAGATATACTTCTTCTTCTTTTTTTTTAAAGAGTTTATTGGGGAGTTGGGGGAGGGGAACAGTGTTGGGGAATTGGGGAAGGAGACCAGCCAGGTTGTTGTTCTTCAGTCTTCGTTGTGGAGGGCACCAGTCGCCATCTGGCTTCCTGTCGGCAGCTCGTGGCCTCCAAGCTCAAGGTACTATGGTTCAATCTTAGTTGTGGGTGGGCATAGCCACCATCCCATGCAGGAGTCGAACCAGCAGCCTTGTTGTTAAGAACACACGCTCTATCCACTGAGCCATCCGGGAGGCAGCTCAGCTCAGCTCAAGGTGCCAAGTTCAGTCTTAGTTGCGGGTAGGCGTAGCCCACTATCGAACAGGCAATCTTGTTGTTACACTAGCTGAGCCATCCTGCCACCTGTTAGCAGCTCGGTGACAGCTCAGCTCAGGCACAGCGTCACTGGCCCATGTGGGAATCATACTGGAGGTCCTGTTGCTCAGAGCTCACATTCTTAAGCCAACTCTTAACCAACTGAGCCACTTGGCTGGCCCGATATACTTCTTAAATTATCAGCCACCTCCTCTAATATTGTCAAAACCAGGCTGAACTCAATCCTGCTGAGTCCACCACCTAAATATCTGACATTCCCACCCTTCTCTCCATTCCCGCGACTTATTAAAGTTCAGAGAGCCTGCCTGGCTCCAAATTTGATTGTGCTCACATATGGGAAGCCTTGGTCAAATCACTTTAACTGCTCTAAGCCTCAACTCACTATCATTAAAACAAAGACAAAATTCACTACAGTGATGCACATGTGAGCCTCTACTTTCATGGCTTGGCAGGCAAGGGAGCACACATAAGTGGGTGGCTCCGCCAGAGGAGGGAGAAGTCACAGGTCTTGGTATGTGTGTTAGGAAGTGACTGTACTGATTAAGGGTTTAATCTCGTGTCCTGGTGAAGGAAACCAGAATGTGTCACTCCATGTTTGACATAGGATTACTTTGAGCTAAAGGCTATATTAAACAGCAGCAAACATAGGAAAAGCTCTCTGCCCTCCCTTGGTTTGCCTAAAAGCAGGACATAAATTTACAAAGGCGTCCCTCTTCCCCTCACTGCCAGAAAATTCAAAAGTTAATCTCTGGAGACAGCTTTACCCCTTATCAGTCTGGAGAGACGCACCAGTGGACATCTACAAACAAACTTTACTAACTAGGCTTTATTTACCACGAGTTCCCCATATATTTGCTTTCCCACAATTTGCTACCTTTCTAGACTCAAGGTCCCTTTCCTTTGTCTTGCACGTCTCTAAAATTGTACTGTTTTTTGCTCAAAGTCCTTATGTAAGCCTGAATTCTAAGCCACCTCCTCTTTGAGTTACTCATCTCTAGGTACTTGCACATGTTAATAAACTTCTGATTATTTTTCTCTTGTCAATCTATCTTTTGTCCATCTAATTTACAGGGTCCCAACTGGAGAACCTAAGATCAGTAAAGGAATTGATTTTTCCTCCCCTACACTGCGTAGGACAGAATGAGTCCATAAGCCTCTGTGCAACTGGTTAAAACATATCCTGCTGATCATCAGTCAAGAAAGTTTTCAGTTAGGTCCAGAGCAGGTCCTGCCTGGGTTGATACTTAATATTCAGTTCTTAATCAGAACCAATTGTGGTGAATCTCAGTATTCAGTTACTTTTTTTTTAAAAATTAAAGGTTTTTTTTTTTTAGATAATTATAGACTCACATGCAGCTTTAAGAAATAATAATATAGGGCCGGCAGAGTAGCACGTTGGTTAAGAGCTGGCTTGGGACGCCAGAGGACCCCGGTTCGGATCCCATATATGAGGGCCAGTGACACTGCCCTCTACAGCTAAGATGCTGAACAACAGCTCAACCTGAGCTGGGCTGCCATGAGTCGCCGGCAACGGCATATGTTGCAGCCCCTGCTGCAGTGGGTTGCCATGGGCTACCGTGTGTAGCCAGCAGCCAGCGTGAGCAGCCAGCAGCCACAGTGAACGGCCATCCAGAAGCTGGCGACTGATCTGCCTCGCCTTGGAAGAGTGCAATGATAGTGCCAACTTGGGCCAGTGAAGCAACATCCTCCACAACTAGACAGGAGAACAAAAACGACAGCAACTTGTCTGTTCCCCTTCCCCCAATTCCTCAGTGCTGTTCCCATCCCCGTAATTCCCCAATAAAAAATCTTTAAAAAAAAAAGCACAGCCAAATGCTGCACCAGAACAAAAAGGGGATTGGGAATCCAATTATTGTTCTTTCAGCTTCTGAGAAATGTGCTCACTTGCCCATTAGACAAAATGGTGAACGAAGTCTTCAGAAGAAAATCTCACCATAATTATCCATGTTTGAATAAAAAAATATCAAGAATTTTATAACATCAAAATATCAAGAGTATCAAGAAACTGTAGACAGGGACACTGATTAGTGTTCAGTAACCACCAGATGCTTGTGTTCTCAAGGACCTCTGATAATGAGTTTCAGATTTTTCTACTGTGGGGGGGGGGGGGGGGGGGGGAGTGAGAGTAAAAATTAAAAGACAAGATATGGAACCTCACCTACAGTTTATGGTATACATCATCAAGCCAAATACAAGGAAACCTTGGTGAAAGATACGATGTGATGTGATTCATTTAAACACTTCTGTTGGTGATTTTTTAAAAATTTAATTTGGTGGTCTGTTTTGTGTGGAGTATCCATTATGCACTCAGTAGATGATGAAAAGCTGAGGAGATCTGGCTTACAAGGGAAAGGATTGGCCCAGACTCCAGTCCTGCTCGCCAGCCTCAATTCTCAGCCTAAGCACCACCTGGAAGAAACCACGTGTGATGCCCCCAAGTGCCACACTTGCTTGTCCATCTTGGCTTAGCCCTTCCTTTTGCCTTCCCACTCTTCCTCACCTGAAGGCCACTCGCCCTTAAACTCAGTACCATCTCTGCCCTCAGTGGAGTTACTCCTTTTTTCCCTGGGAGGCCAACAGCACACTATCCTGTGAGCATTTAAGTAACAAATTCCTTCTTAATTCTGCATTCCAGCAGGGGAGAATTCACATTCTCCACATTCACCTTTGTCCAAGCACTCATCTCATGTTAAATACTTGATGAATTAAACCAGATCTTCTTAGATTTAAGAAAAAATATCAAATGTTGTGGTGAAATAAATGCACCAGCACTATGGAATGCCAATAGGATAGATTTATTTCTGATCCTGATGAGGACAGTAGGTTCTAAGGAGAATGAGGAAATCAAGGTGTGTGTTTTCTCCCTCGAGATACGTCCTTTTAGTGTGTATATAACACACTATTGCCAGCTCCGACTTTGAAGAAATATGAATCGGTAAGCCATAAAGCACAGGGTGTTATTTATAACCCTATTTTCTGAACTATTTTTCCACTGCTAGCAAAATCAATCTTCTAAGAAATTGTTCTGTTGCATAGAGACCACCGATGAGCTCCCCCCCCACCCTTCCACATCAGTCTTCTGACAAAATGCATGAGTCTTGTCTTTCCCTCAAGTTCCTGCTGCATTAAGCCACTGAAACAGAACCAGCTTTCTCCTGAATTCACTGAATAATTAAAGCACCTTCAGACTGAATGCATTTTTATATTAAATGAAATTTTTCAAAAAAATTTAAAGCAACATTGATCCTATGAGGCATTACCAAGGAAAGCATTATGCCACTTGTGGTTTTGTTTTGTGGTTTTTTTTTTTGGTGGGGGGGGTATGAGGACAGGGAACAAAATCAAGCTGGTTGCCCTTCCCCTATCTTTTTTTTTTTTTTTTAAATTGGGGAATTGGGGGATGGGAACAGCGCTGGGGAATTGGGGGGAGGGGAACAGACAAGTTGCTGTCGTTTTGTTCTTCAGTCTAGTTGTGGAGGACGTTGCTTCACTGGCCCAAGTTGGCACCATCATTGCGCTCTTCCCAGGCGAGGCACATCAGTCGTCGGCTTCTGGACAGCCGCTCACAGCTGCTGCTGGCCGCTCACGCTGGCTGCTGGCTACACACGGTAGCCCATGGCAATCCACTGCTACAGGGGTTGCAGCCTCCGCCCTCCGGTGACTCACAGCAGCCCAGCTCCAGATTGAGCTGTTGTTCAGCATCTTAGCTGTAGAGGGCAGTGTCACTGGCCCTCATATGTGGGATCCGAACCGGGGCCCTCTGGTATCCCAAGACAGCTCTTAACCAACGCGCCACTCGGCCAGCCCCTCCCCCCACACCCCATTCTTTACAGTAGGTCACCTAAGCAACATTTTGTTTCTGGTGCACAAATAAGGCTGCTAGCCTTGTTTTCCTTGCCAAGTTCCAAGGTCCTTTGGAACACCGCTTACATTATTTTTAAAAACAAACAAACAAAAAAGGATTTTGGTGCTTTTAATAATCTATTCCAAGGCAGAGAGAATATTGACCATGGCCAGCACCCAGACCAATATGTTTCCAGTAGTGAATATCTTTTAAATATTACACGTTTGTTCTGGTAACTTGGAAATTCAAAAGGAATACATATATTGAAAGAAGACATTACATAATGTTTTAAGCTTTAAAGTTCTTAATACCCATTATTAAGGTTTTTCTGTTTTCCAAGACAAGGTTCCTATAATAAACACATCTAATTCTTTTTTTTTTTTTAATTAATTAATGAATTTATTTATTTATTTTAGCTGAGCCATCCTGCCACCTGTTGGCAGCTCAGCAGCAGCTCAGCTCGGGCTGGACTCCAACCACTGCTGCTCAGAGCTCAAACCCTTGAGCGACCTCTTAACCAACTGAGCCACTCAGCCGGCCCTTAAACACATCTATTTCTTGATGGGGACAGGTAGGGACAGATTTTTACATCAGTTTGACCAGTGGAGAACAGGAAAAGGTTGTTCTCTGCAAATGGTGTGATTTCACTGAGAAACACAAAAGATCCTTTACCTCAGTGTAAATTAGTCAGCCTCTTCCACGATCACCATTACAGCATCAACACAAACCAGTGAAAGGCAAGCAGTGCACAACTTCAGGTTTCCTTGGCTGCCTCCTTTATCAGCCCCCCAATGTGCCCTCACATCAGAACCCAGGGTTAAACCTCTGCTCTGACTGTACGGGATCTAGGCTTCTCTTACATCACTGTGGTTTGCACCCAGTAACACAGGGGACAAAATCTAAACATCATCTCAAACAGTGTTTTGAAAATGTTTTGACCACAAGCCTCAGTGAGAAATCAATTTACAACGTGATGCACTATACAAGTGTGCAAGTTTGTGCGTATACAGTGGTAAAAAGTTACACAAAACATTACCCTATGTATGGCAAATCTGATCATTTCTCTTCTACTCTATTTCACTTTTTTTAGTGGTTTTTGTCTACTAAATTGATTTCACAATCCATTAGTGGGTCCTGACCTGCATTTTAAAACACAGTGATGATGTACAACACATTTTGATACATGAAGCTGTATTTCTTAAGTTAATCAATCTGGAATTGTAAAATTCTAAGAAACAAATATAAGTTTCAGTAGAAATACCAAAAAGAAGGAACTTTTTCCTAGCACATACAAAATGTGAAGCATTGAAAATTATTCTGAAGAATTGGTGGATATCTAAGTCATAACCAGTTGGAACACAGATAAACATGGGGCAAAGTTTGGGAAGAAGCCCAAATGAAGAGTGAAGAAACTTACCAGAGCTCAGCCAACCTGCACAGTGGCAATGGAGACTTGTTATGTCAATGCTGCGATGCCATCTCATTTTCCTTTTGCTGAAAGAAATGATTAAAAGACTCTTGGGGTTGGGAAGAACCTTAATGTCAAATTCTATTTTCTCCTGCCAGGTGACAAAAGTAAATCAGCATTTCCTTTGACAACCTGAGCATTCCCTTTGTTCCTATCCAAGAGTTAACTTCAATTAGAAGTAGGGTTAAAAAAAAAAAAAAAAAAAAAGATCCACTAAAACATTGTTCAACTTTCTCTGTCTTTAAACAATTACCAGACTTTTATTAGCCAAGGGAGAGCAACTGGAAGAGAAATAACAAAAAATACATCTTAAGCATCCTTAACTACATCATATATTTATAATTTAAGTATCATATTTTAAAAGACCACTATGCATCAGTTCATGAAATATACCAACTTGTGTCATAGGCCCACTTGCCAACTAAATTAATGTCCACTGTCCTTTGGCTCAGGAGACTGTCCTTTGCATCTGACTTGGTCTCTGTAACGGCATCAGCAAAGATGCTCTTCAGGGTTTTAAGGTTAACCCCTCAAAAGTGAACACGGCTCTGAAGGCAGGTGCTTTTCTCCAAGAAAATTTCCACCTGGCTCTGCGGCTCTGCACGGCTGCCATCATTCTCCTCCAGTCACCGACAGCCAAACAGAAGAGAGAGCCAAGGCTCACGACAGCTGGTGCAGTGCAGTCTGTGAGGGGAACATACCCCAGTCTAGTGAGGAATGGGTTCTGCAGCCTCTCGCCTGGCAGAGAACTTGTCGCCCAGCACTTCTGGGGTCCTTTGGGATTTCCGACAACTCTGGTCTGTAAGTTCAGAAAGTGCTTTCGAGCAGGCAATGACACCCACACCCAGTGGGACACACCTCCTGGGTCCGAAACCACTCCATCATGTGGCTGGTATGTCCCCCATGCCCGCAGGTCAGGCAGAAATTGGACGATCCTCGAACTGCCACGTGGCAGATGGCACACTGGAATGTGAAGCCTTTGCAGATGGTGCACTGTGTGCCACGGACCTCGCTCCGACAGTGGCTGCAGTACACACCAAACTCTGGAAATGGTTGGAGATGGCCAAAACAAGAGACACGAGTTTAGTTCTGCAAAAGCAAACTGGGCATTGTGAGCTAAGAAAGATGTATTCATCTTAGGGCTCTGTAGGACTCCTATTAGACCAGTGATTTTTTATTTTCTTTTTTTAAATAGCAGAACCCCTTCTTCTACCATCTCAGTAAGTGTTATAAAGAGCAGTTGTTGTCGCTGCAGTGGTAGGTGAGCGCAAAGGGTGCAGCAGGCGCCTGGCCCTCACAGGCCCTGGTGAAACCCCTGTGCCTGCAGCGGTGGCGGCTGGGTGTCACTCATCTTCCCACCCCCAACAGCTGCAGGGGCCTGACATATGGAAGGTGATTACCAAACGCGTGTTCCAAGAACTGAAGGACTCAGTCAACATTCGGGTCGAGAGCTGACTGGTCTTACAATCTCTTCTGTGCCTGCCTGCTAATGACCGAGCAGCACATGACGGGCCAGGTCAGGACACCACAGTGCCGCCCACTGTTGGGGAAGCGGTCAGGACCGTTCTGCTATGACTGGTCCCCAGCCTTCTGGAAGAGACCCTGAGGGCTAATCCCACCATCCGCAGTCAATACCCTGAGTCCAGGCGGCCCATATTCACTGCCCATCTCGCTGCTCATCCCCAGCTGCTCTGGAGAGCCTCCCTCCTCCCCGCCTGGCCTTCCACTGTGCCACCTTGAGTGCAGACCTTCCCAGGTGCTCTACAGACTCTTCTCAGAAGGAGCAGGGGCAGGAGGAGTGGGCACACACCCCATTACTGCCTCCAGACTGCTACATTTCCCCTTGAGGCTAATGCCATCTGGTTTCACCAGCCTTTCCTCTTTTTCTCGGTTCTCATCTCCTGACAGTCTGGACACCCACATCCATATACTGAAGACTTCTGTTCGTGGTCCTCAATCTTCCCTCTACCCCAATTCTTGGCACGATCCTTGGTGTCTTTAAAATCTACGCCACTAACCCTCTGTACACCTGACCACTTAGGTCACTGCCCTCTCATCTCTAATCTACCATCTTCACTTACACTTTTGTTCCATCAGCCTCCTTCTGGCTGTAGTTTTTCCTTCAGTCATTCTGAATTACATGACCCAACTTTAAAATCACTTTTTGGCAAATATCCTCAACATCTCTGCCCCTCTCTCCCTCCATGGTACCACCTGGCAAGACCTCAAACCTGAATGACCCCTATCACCTGCCCACTCCATGTCTGCCCTGGAGTGGTCCTGAGGGAAGGTCGACCATCATGATGTGTATCTCACTAAATACACAACCATGGACAGACTCCCAGCACTGCACACTGGTCTGTTTCTCTTTCATTTCCTAGATGGCTACTTCATACCCCAGCCACATTCCAAAAACTCCGCCCTCACACCTATGCTCCCCTCTCTGTCACCTATGGCCTCTTCTCTGGCTTCCCTGAGAAAACAGAAGCCTTCAAATAGGGGCCCCTTCATCCCTCCATCACCAAATCTTCAAGTCTCCCTAAGTTGGTTCCTCTTGTCCTTCTGCCTCTTATAATAGAGGAAGGGTCCTTTCTTCTATCACAGCCAGTTCCTCTGCTTCATGACAACTGATAGTCATAAAAAAGTACCAATAAATATATTTTTTTAATACCTGGTAACTAAGGAGAAAATTTTATGGTAGCCCTAGTTAAGGTAAATCGTGAGACAAATTAGACTGCTTTGATAATTTTGGTTTAAAAATAGCTATGCCTTCTATCTCTAAGCATAACTTTTTATATTATGTAAGACTTCAAGTTTATGTTCTCATGACAAGCCTAATTAGTTCAAATTTTTAAAATTTCCTTTATTGGTTTTACTGGTTTGACAAGCTTCAACATTTAAATTATAAGGATGTAAAATTATGTGTACAAGTTAACAGACTTATAACATGTCTTTTAAAAAGGGTTGTTCTTTGGCACTTGAGATAGCTATCAATGTAAACTTAATTATTCTCCATATCTATCTGGGTAAAATTATTAAAATGTCCTCTCTCTGAAAAATTCAATGTATCATTAGTAATTGTTTCTCTATAGTGTGTCAGCTTAAACACAATTTCTAACATCCTTATTATCTTTAAGACCTTGAACTAATATTTCATTTAGTTGATTAATGAATCATCTTTGGGGGTGTGCACAATTTTTAAGTGGATATAAATTCACACGCACAGAAAATACGAAAACACTAAGTTACTTGTCATAATTTTACTATTTCTCTCTTGCCTCTTAGTGTTACACATAACGGAATGGCTATTAGTTAACAGTTGAGAAGAATGTGTGGACACCTTTGGGCCGTGCTGGCACACATGCTAACTTTTGCCACTTTAGGAGATACAAAGGGATGTGGCGTGTGTTTGAAATCCCAAAGCTGTCAAGGTGTCTTTTACAGCAACATCGACAAACGTAGGAATCTCAGGGAAGGAGGCATACAACCACAGGTACAGGCTTTGTAGGTGAAATCCGGTAGACGTCAAATGGATCATTCTTAGTTCCTAACAGACAAACTAATAAGGCAGTAAAAGTACTCTGGCACACAGGATGATCAAATTACGATTCCTGAGGCTTTACGAAACCTCCAGGAGGAAGCTAACTAACTCCAAAGGCTTAGTCTCATAGGACTCTAGTTTGTTAACCATACAGAAGAGCTGTGTGTATCAGTTAACATCACCTATTACACAAATGTAAATAAAACCAGCCACATAAGACAATAAATTATCAGCTGAAGCAGAAAATTGCTGTACAAAATGTAGGTGAGCAGAGATACGCACCTCTGGAGGAGGAACTGGGGGCGGGGCTGACAAAGCAAAGCAATCACCTTGCTCAGCCACCATGAGAACCGAGAGCCACATACCACGATGGAAAAAAAACAAAAATCATCTTATTTCCAGAGACTTTTTTTTTTTTAAGATGACTCTGTTGAGCATTATTCCCTCAAAATAAATGAAGCTTTTGAGTCCTTTCTATCAGTATCTAACCCCTAAATGAAAACAACTTTATTCCTCAAATTTGCTGCCGATATTGTATGATGACCCTTGCAGATATGATAAGCGCAAGAAGAAATTGCTGGGTTTCCACCCTGAGGAGACCAATGGTAGCCCTGGGAACTTTGTATTTTTCTTCCTGGATATGGGCAGTCCGACTCTTCCAAATAGTAAAAACTTTAAGGATGAAAACGTTTTTCTTGGGCTGGCTGAGTGGCGCGTTGGTTAAGAGTTGGATTGGGACGCCAGCTCTGAGCAGCAGGGCCCCGGTTCAGATCCCACATTAAGGCCAGTGATGCTGCGCCCTCTACAGCTAAGATGGTGAACAACAGCTCGACCTGGAGCTGGGGTGCCATGAGTCGCCGGTGAAGGCGTAGGCTGCAATGGAGCTGCAGTGGGCTCCCGTAGACTACCATAAGTGGCCGGCAGCCAGCGTGAGCTGCCAAGAACGACCATGAGCTGCCGTTCAGTGGCCAACAACCGATCTGCCTCACCTGGGAAGAGCGCAATGATAATACAAACATGAGCCAGTGAAGTGATGTCCTCCACAACTAGGCTGAAGAACAAAAGGACAGCAATGTGTCTGTTCCCCTTCCCCAATTCCCCAGTGCTGTTCCCCTCCCCCAATTCCCCAACGAAATCTTTAAAAAGAAAATGTTTTTCTTAATGTTTTTGTCTGTGAATCCTCCATAATGCCCCCTTTGCTGAAAACTTGTAATAATGTTTATAATGGTATTAAGACATAGTATTCACTCTTTAATATCATTTAAGTCTTCACGAGCTAATGGTTTATCTCTGATTGGATTATAGACTTCTTGACCCAGCCCCCACCAACCACACCTTATAGTTCTTTGTACAGCCCATAGAACCCAGCGTAATTCTTTATAATAGCATATATAAGTTTCACTGGTTGATGAATTGATGCACCAGTTACACATCTTTGTGATTCATGTATTTTCCTGAAAACTAATTTTAAATGACAAAATTGCTCCAGGCCATCATTAATCTCTCCCTAATATATTGGGTTGTCAGAAAAGTCATGACATATATTTTCTATGTTTTTCGTTGCAAAAATGCATCGTGACTTTTCCGACAGCCCAATACTTCCATGCATTTAGATGCTCTGAAAAATATATTGCCCAAATAGCCTTGTCTTTGCATTCCTTCAAGTACACACACCAAAATAATCCATGTTCAAATAATCTTTGTTATTCAGTATTTAAAACTATGTATTACCCTGGTTTACTTGATTTTTATACTGAAACTACATACACACACACACACACACACACACACACACACACACACACAAATTTAGAGTCAAATATTCTATACCATGTCAAAACTAGCATTCCATTCCACTCCCACACCCATCACTCCCCAGGAAAATCCTTCCAACCCATTTAACTATTTCTTTTGTTTTTATCTCCCTATATTTATAAAGCTGTTTCTTCATTTTCATATTTAAGCATTATCTATTGGCTTTCTTCAGTGGAAGCTCCCTTTCAGTCCCCATCTCCCCAACCGCACACATATGCAGCCTGTCCCTCACCTTCCCCAGACAGCTCTATTATCATTTAGCTGGATCAGAATTCTGCTTTCACATTATTTATCTAGGTAAACATTATTCAAGCCATGTACCGTGACAACTTTTCCTTTCTTGCACACTGTTTTTCCTATAGTTAAGAACTGTCTTATCTTGTTTATCTGCTTAGTTTGCTATGTACTTATCAATAATTCATCTCTAAACTCTCCCTTAAACATCTGAATCTTCTATAAACACACTGAAATACATTAAATATTTTTTCAGTTTTCTCTTCTTACAGACAACATTCCTGAAGCTCCATCCTGGACTGGTCTACCTCCAAGTCTGTCACTTAGATGTCCTTTCTCTGTCATTCCGACTCCCTGGTTTCCTGGATTGGTTCTATTCCGCTCCTGAGATAGGAGGAGCATTTCCCTTTCACACTTGATTGATAATTTGGGTACAGAATCCTAGGTTACAAATCATTTTCTTGAGAATTCTGAAGGAACTACTGTGTTGTCATCTCGTTTCCAGTGTCTTGCTCACTGCTCCTGAGAAGTGTGCGGCCATTCATATCCCTCATCCCTTGTGTGGAACCTGTTTTCTCTCTGGAAGGTCCTGGGGTCTTCTTTCTATCATTCATTATGCTAGGTGCTTGGTGAGCCCTTTCAATCTGGAAATGTGTTTATCTTCACTGGAGAACGAACTTCTAGTTTTCTGCTGGGGTAAAGGAAGGATAGGAGCCTGCTGTGCAAAGTTGAAGAGGGGACCCAGGACCCTACAAAAGCCATCAAACAATGCTCCTGTTTTTAACACCAATTTCGTGCCATTTCCAGAGGTACCAGGTACCACTAATTCCTGAGCCATTTGGGAGTTCTGCCATGTATCCTACTGTTTTCCACCTGCTGGTTTTGGGTTCAGCTTTCTCAGGCCCTTTAAAATCAGGTACCACTAACCTATCTCCCGCCCGGGTCCCAAATTTTATTTCCAACGTTACTTCTTGCGCAGCTATGCCTTTTCAGAAATGCTCTATATGGACACTTTGGTGGGGTCTGGGGAGAGAAGAAATCATTGTCTGTTCAGTTGACTCTCTGGCAGTCTTCCATTTCGCCCTTTAAAAAACATCTCTTCTCTTAGCTTCTTTCATGTCACAGTCTTGCTTTTCATCAAAATTCACTGATGTCTCATTCTAAGTTCCTGTTTCTGGTTCTTCCTCTAAGACTCAAGCTCCAGGTACTAGCTTCCTCTCAAGGCCCAGAGTGGGTGGGCTCTCTTATTTGTTCTCCTCAAACTCTTCCTCCCCACCCTACATCTCCCAGGTAGATGCACCCATTCTCACAGCTTGAATACCACTCATATGCTGAAGATTCCCAAATTCTTAGTTCTAGCCCCAGTCTCTCCTTTGATCTCCAGACTCACATCTGACTGTCTATATGACTTCTACAGTCTGATATCTCACACACAACTGTGACTGTCCCAAACTGAGCTCTCAATTTTCTTTCAGTCTTTTAGTCTCAATTTTCTTAGAATATGGCACCATCATGTACCTAGCTGCTCAAGCTAGAAACCTAAGAATTATCCAAGTTTCCTCAATCCCACATCCAATGTGTTTGTAAATCATGTTGAGTCTACTTCTAATGTATTTCTAATCCATTTACCTCTCCCCACCCAATTGATATGACCCCTAGACTAAACTGTTAATCTCTCTTTGACTACTCCAACCATCTTCAAAGTTCTTTCAACCTCTACTTCTGCCCTCCTCCAATCCTTTCTTCATATAACAGCCAAAGTGATCCTCTTAAAATGGAACCCAAAGCATTACTTCTCAATGCCCTTTGAAGCTTATCACTGGATTTAGAATATAATCCAAATTCTATACTTAAAAGTCCCTAATGGATGCGGACCAAACTAGTAGCCCCGCCCCCCCACCCTCCATCCTCACCCCAGGGACAACTTTTAAATCTCCTCTTCCCTAGTTTCTTAGCCCCTGGCTTTGATTACTCTTCTAATCAGTTTCTGAAACCTAGACTAAAGATTGCCCCTAGACTGAATCACAGAATATCTCTCACCCACCCTGACTTTAGATAACTACTTAAAGCCTGTAACTTTCCAACATTCCCCAAGCCATTCCAGACTTAACTCTCAAATAATCCCAATCCATAGACTAAATAGGTTTTAACATTTCCCCAGGCCATTATACTTGTTGATTGTAAACATTAAAGGCTAATGTTCTTTCCAAACCCATAGTCATGCTACATCAATAGCTTTGAGCTCTGCTCTTTAAGAAACTTATTAGAATCTATTTTTCCTCATTTAGGGGCTTTGGGGATACAGAGGGTACCCCAGCAAGATTGCCAGTCCCTACAAAAGAAGCCAACACAGTCTTCCAGGTAGATCTCGAGACCCCTTCCTCTCATCTGAGATAAGATAGGGTGAGAGTTCCCTGAATCCCCAAATAGGCAGGGACAGCTCCACACCCCTGCGCAGCAGGAAGTACAATAGATACAGAAGACCTCCTGTCCCTCAACTTCCCATAGAGATTTTATGGGGATCAAGTCTCTCAAGGGAAAACAAGATAGGCAGTTAGAGGCAGGCATTGGGTCTCTGCATTCCTCCATGTCCCACAGAATGCACCTCCCCAAAGACCTCCCCTCTCCATCCAAAACTTCTCTTTTCTTTTAATAAACTCCTTTTCTAAAGAGATGAGATCAATCAGGTGGTACCACACCCAGAGAAGAACAGCCCATTCTAGAAGAAGAAGGGATAAAAACTCCAAGTCCTGCACTCAAAGCCTTTTGAGCATTTTGAACCTTGCCTCTGCTCAGGGCCCACTCCAAACTCATTGGAGTGTACTTTCTTTTCTAATAATGGCCTTTGAGCCATTCTCTACTGCTTGGGCCACTTCTGCTTCTCTGAAATGTATTTTTACTTCTAATAAACTCCTTTTCTGCAACTTTACCTCTCTGGTCCATGTCTCCATTCTTCGGTTCCATGAGACCACAACCCTGGCACAAGAAATATCCTACATCATAATTACCCTACAATCTGATCTTATATCACTCTTCTCACTCATTGTGTTCTAACCACACTGGGCTTCCTTTACTTACTTAAAATAACAAGTTGCTTCTCCCATAGGCCTGCTCCCTCTGCATGGACATGCTTCTGGCTGCCCTCTGCACAGATGGCTCCTTGTCCTTCAGACCTCAGCTCCTCAGAGACGCACTCCCAGCACAACTCAATACGTTTTCTGAAATTCTCCCTCCCTGATTTCCCTGCCCCAACATCCCTTTTGTTTGTTCTTAAGTCATTTGATCACAATTTTAAATTAATTTTTCTCCACCACTAATCTGCGAGTTCCACGAAGGGAAGGAAATGAGCTAGCACTGTGACTTAAGAGGAGTTTGATAGATATTAGTTGTGTATCTATATCATTAAATGCATAAATGTTCCTACTGCCAATTACTACCTGAGGATTGTATATAAAACTACTTCTGTACAATAAATATTTAATCTTGTCATGAAGCTTAAAATAGACTCAAAATGCCTCAGAAATTTCTGCTTACTTACTTACGAGAAACTAAAACTTCCTTCCAAGTATTGTGTTACGGACAAATTATAGAAGCTTTCAGATAATGACAAGAAAAGAAAAAAAAAAAGCATACTCACCAATTCCTTTGTGGGGGTCAGGGGGACATGACACAAACTTCAGCACTTCAGCTCTCTTTTCTCTCAGACCCCAGCGATAGAGGATTTCTCCATAGCATTTCTTAAAGTCATCAAATTGCTGGGTGTTGGCAGGGTCCAGGAGCCTGGATAAAAGTCAAAAGATATCCTATCAGTTCCTTTAGGAAAAAACAAGCTCAATACCAAATGGCACTGTATATACCTTTCTTAATACAAAGTCCTAATGTTGGAGAATCTAAGCACTATAGAACTGCAGCTCTCACCTAGGAAGGTCATTACCTTTTATTTTTATCATGCTGGTCACGTTCTCGTTCACGAGGATCACTATAAGTCAGACTCCCAAAACGGATTTCTTCTGGTGAGGACTCTCCCCAAGGTGAAGATATATGTTCTATCTCTCTCCCTGCTGAAGAAAATCGAATGGGATGGGAAGATGGAAATCAGAAGAGACATGGAAAATCTCTGAAAACTCTCATAAAGCAGTGCCCAATTTATTCCCTAAAATAAAAATAAGCTAAGTTGAAGATCCTGAGAAATATAACTAAACAGAAGTCTTTCCTAGACTTACTTTTTTGTCTAGGTATTTATTATTAAGGTAATCTGATAATTAAGTACATATATAATGATTAAGCAAATTACAGAATAGAATATTAGGCAGTAATTATTTATAGACTTTCTAAATGACATAAGAAAATGCTCATGGGCTGGCTGAGTGGCTCGTTGGTTAAGAGTTGGCTTGGGAGTGCGAGCTCTGAGCAGCAGGGCCACTGGTTCGGTTCCCACATGGGCCAGTGACGCTGCGCCCTCTACAGTTAAGATGGTGAACAACAGCTCGACCTGGAGCTGGGCTGCCGTGAGATGACAGCGTAGGCTGCAGCCCCTGCTGCAGTGGGCTGCTGTAAGCTATCGTGAGTGGCCGGCAGCCGGCGTGAGCTGCCGTTAGCGGCCATCCAATGGCTGACGACTGATCTGCCTCAGCCGGGAAGAGCGCAATGATAATACCAACATGGGCTAGTGAAGCGACATCCTCCACAACTAGACTGAAGAACAAAAAGACAACATGTCTGTTCGTTCCCCTTCCGTGATTCCCCAACGCTGTTCTCTCCCCCAATTCCCCAATAAAATCTTTTTAAAAAAAAAAGAAAAGAAAATGCTCATGATAAAATTAAAAACCAAACACAAATCACAAATCACATATAATGACTCCTCCTAGACCCCATATACACAAAGGTTGGAAGAAAATGTTCTGAAATGTTAACATGTTATTTCTAGGTGGGACAATCAATGATTGCTATTTTCTTCTCTAATACTTTGTGTTTTGTTTTTCTTCCTTCCCATATTACTTTTATAATCAAGAAGATTAAGATAATTTTTAAAAAGAAATTTTAAAAATCCAGGAAACACAAATACATCTACTCATTAAATAGATCTCTATGGTCAGCTAATCAGGCTCAGCTTTATTTCTCTACATTGAAAAGAGGTATATGGGAAGAGGTAGATAATAGAAGTGGCAGATGACCATGGAAGGGGTGTGTGACAGAGAAAGGATAGGGTTAGGTTTTTGGGGTGAACACTGGGAAGGCTCATTGTCAGTTTCTCAAGGTTATGGGATTGAAAAGCAACCCAGAAAGGCACAAAGATCTTCCAGAAACTGGCCTGTTGAAACATGAAAGTCTAGGCCTTGCTGAATGTAGTATTGCCATCATACTAAATAAATGTAAAGAAAAATGAGAAACAAGGAAAAATGTGGAGAATTTTTCCTAAATTTCAACTAAAGATTACATATTATTAACAACTCACACCCAGCTGTTAGAGCTAAACATCCAACGTGGGCTCAGTCAATTCCATACCAACCTATGTTCCAGCCACCGGTGTTGAGCCCTGGGTCTGACATGCTTGAGCAGGAACCAGAGGAGGTGAAGCTGGGCTGCAGAACAAACAAGAGTAGCATCAGAATACCATTCCCCATGAACATTTACCTTTAGGAAATGTCAGGCACAAGCTAGAAAACCACAAGCTTACGTATCGACTATGGGACACCACAAGATTTGATGAACGACTGGGAAAAGGCACAAAAGGGTTTGGTATTCCCTGAGGCCGAGACTGGGCTTCAAACACGCTGCAGAGCATAGCCAATGTCTGGACATCCCGGAGTCGGCAGTAATGAGCCAACCTAGAGAAAAAGATGAGAAAAGAGAAAACAGGTCAAAAGAAGGGATGGAGGAAGGATACTATCCCAAACATGGTGGGTTGTTGCCATAGGAATAGGAAGAGAGGATGCTTAATTCTTCCTCAAACACCCCAATCAGGAACCAGGGCTTTCTACAGATCCAGAGGCTTGATCTACTTTGATTAAATTTGGTTAAGTTTGCTTTGGAATAAAATGTATCTAAGTATTACAAATCACCTAGAAAATCAATTTGAAAGCTTCTGGTTGGCATCTAGGCATGGGCTCAGACTTGAATGTATAGCTTCTCAAGAGCTAAGGAGACTAAACTAACATCCGAGTGAGGCCATACATGTTCTCTCCCAACTGCACTGCTTTCTGGGAGGTTCCTATAAGCTTCATTCATATAGCCTAAAGCCATGCAAAGGTGCTCAGAGAACACTGTACCACCACTGCATGGCAAGCAGGCGATAAGACTCAGGAGGTAGAATTAGGAATATGAGCTATTAAAATAGAACAACAAGGAATAGTTTTACCTTTTAGGTACTCATATCCCCTTTGCTCCTTTCAGGACCATTATGCTAGAATGTGAGGTAGGGATCAGAGGGACTTGGCCCTTGTGATGGAATACTGATGCTTTTCCATCAGACAATGTCTAATATTTGTTAAGGTGTTTTCACACTCACTATCTGATTTGAGCCTTATGTGAAGTGGGTAGAATAAGCATTATCATCCCTGCATTATCATGAGGCAACCGAAGCCGAGCACATGTGTCCCAGGTCTGGCCTCAACCAGGAAGTAAAGCAAACCTTCCCCTGAAGGAGGGAGAGCTTCCTTATTGAACTCAGCTTCTGTTAGGAGCCAAGCTTCACTGTTATGGAGGTTCAAGTGGTTTACCTGGTTGTAAGTCATTTTGCACACTATATTTCCAGTTGGCCATATTTCAGTGCAATAAATGAAACACAAATTCAATGTTTTCATAAATTGCCTAACAGGGTGAAAGCATCACGGCCTTCCGAAAATATGAAAGCCAACACGCAATTCTCTAATCTGCTCTCATGGGTGAAACTCTGTGGCACCCAAGACATTCGCCATATCAAAAGCTCAAACTCCTGTGTTCAGAATGATGTGACTTAAGAGGCTAATGCATAAATCTCTAAAGGATACATGAGTCTCAAATCCTTGTTATAGATGACAAATACTGTATAGTCCCTTCTGCTATAAGGAGTTGGTTGTGCACAGAAATTATTGTAGCACAAAAAGGAAACATCTCATTTCTACCTCTCATTTCTCAGGCCTCAGTGCTTTTCTCTTAGACAGTAACCTTGAAAGTGTTGACAGACCTAAAATGTATATCACTCATTTCCTCACTTTTAGCTCTCAAAACCTACAGGGATTCCAGCAGCTGTCGCCCGAATGGATGTCGAGCCCAGGGTGTTTCCAAATCCGGGTCAGATTTCGGACCAAGGCAAAGATCTGTAGCTACCGTAGCCAGTGACCAAACCTGAACAAATTAAAGAGAAACACCCAAAACTCAGACTGGTGAGGACAGGAACGGGAAGCATGAAAGAACCCCACCTCCCCTCCACCTACATCCCAACCTTGCTACTCGGAGAGCCACAAAAGCTGGGAGCTTACTGAAATACAGAATTTCAGGCCCCGCTCCAGACCTACTAAATCAGAATTGGCAGTTTAACAAGATTCTCAGGGGACTACAACATTTGAGAAACATTAGCCTTAAAAACTTTCATTAAGCAAACTTCAGAGAAATCACACCATGCAGTAACTTCAGCGGGTTGTCTATTTAGCCACTAATTCATGTGACTTTTTCTACTGCTTCATTATTGAATTGTCAGGGAGAAAAAAAGGGTATTCTGTATCATATTTAAGATCTGTCCTTCTTCAGCCAAATAATGAAAAACTTTGTTGCTTTCCTTACAAAAGTTTCAGTATACTCGCTGAAGCTACAGAAAAAAAACAGGCCAAGACAAAATAGATTTGGCTTTCTTTTTTGTTGACACCAAGTCTGAGGAAATCTCAAGGGGCTTGGAGTCATCAAGCAGATACCAAGGTCCATTAAGTGTCTGTTAAACGCAAGATTTAGCACACACTAAATACATCGTGCCATCGACAGAGCCCACTCCCCTTCAAACATTTAAAAATAGAACAGTACTTTTGGGAAAGCTTTCCTAGCAGCAACACATCATTGCACGCCCACTAACTGGAAAACACTATACTAGACTCTATGAGATACTCAAAAGGCAGAAGTATAGGTTTTAAATCAAGGAGTTTATAATCTAAGAAAAAAGACTAAGCAAATAAAAATACTGAAACACAGGTAGAGAAACACATCAGCTAGGTAAAAAAAAAAATCAATTAAATTATGTGGCACCTATAATACTTAAATAATGTACACAAGTATGGGTTCAACTGAGAAACTTGAGATTATGTTCATCTTTATAATCAAAGACTTACCTGCATAGCTGCTGAAAGGGACAGAACAGGATGTTTACTACCCTGCTGACAACTTAGGTATGGCATTTCCTCACTTATAACACACATTTCCTAATGCCTTCAAAAGAAATAGTTGACACTTAGGTTTATTTCTGCAATTCTTTGCAAAATAGTAGGCACATGAACTCAACATGTGCATAAAGAATTTTTTTAAAATTCTTCAAGCATTTGCATTGATGTCATTTCTGTCCCACTAAACAGTACCATACCACAAATGATGACAATAATTGCAAGAACAGCAGCAGTAATTGTACCACATATTGGGTAGTTAGCATCTATCAGATGTAAGTATGGGAATTTTACATACAGGCATATTACCTTATTTAGTTCTCATGAGAACCTTAAAAGTATTGTTCCTATTTTATAGTCGAGGAAACTGAGGTTCAGAAAGACGAGGTGGCTGCCTAGGATCACAGAACAACAAGGTGACAGAGCCCAGATTTATACCTGGGCCTGTCTGAGCCCAAGGGAAGGGTCTTTCCACTTCACTTGGACTAGCCTGACCTTCCAAATCAACTTAACGAAAATTTAAAAAACAAAACACTTTTGGAAGTAATTTTTCCTCAGAGACTGTTTTTCAGAACATGAGCATTGGGTCTGCCTTAGCATTGCATTTACCAATCTTCTCACCAACACTATGAGGTAATTATTCTTACGGTTCCCATTTTACAAACATACACAGAGGCTGAGAGAGTCGGAAATAATTTGCCCAGGGTTACACCACTAGGGAGCTGAGGTGGACCTACACATCCTGTTATAAATTCCACAAAAATACTACTACTCCTTTTTGCCTTCTTACTGTTCACAGAACTTTAGGTGGCTGGGTCCTTAGAGAAATAGATTAAATCCATGACTAAATTTCACTTAAAAGGGTTTGGGGCAAAGCTTGATTAGAAGACAAATAAAAATCTCAGGGATGTTTTCATCAGATAAAAATCAAGGGCAGGCCTTAGTTCTGGGTCATTTGGAGGGTTATAAGGGAAAAACCTGAGCAGACAGAATAACAACTCGTAGTTTTCATTGCTTAATCTAATCCTCACAGTAAAGAATAAAGGGTGCAATACATACAGAGAGCAGATTAGTGGTTGCCTAGGGCTAGGTGGGGGAAGACAGGATTGGGAGCCATGAGCTATCTTTTTAGGGTGATGAAAATATTCTAAAATTATTTGTGGTGACTGTTGCAAAACTCTATGAATATACTAAAAGACAATGAATGGCACATTTTAAATGGGTGAATTGAATGGTATATTAACTATACCTCAATCAAGTTGTTTAAAAAACAACAACACAGGAGTAGTTTGCTTTAAATACACTACTGTGTTCCTACAAAAATGAAGATTTAAATTTTTGTAAGATTACCTCGTATTTTATTGTATTTTTATTTTTTTTTAACTTTATTGGGGAACAGTGTGTTTTTCGAGGACGCATCAGCTCCAAGTCAAGTCGTTGTTTTAAATCTAGTTGTAGAGGGTATATGCAGCTCACTGGCCCATGTGGGAATCAAACCAGCAACTTTGGTGTTAAGAGCCTGCGCTCTAACCACCTGAGCTAACCTCCCGCCCCTACATCGTATTTTAAAACTCAACATGTCTCCATCTAAAGGAATGTTTTCGTAAACCTTTTATGAAATTAAGCATTTTTAAAAGTAAAAAAACCCAAAACAAAATAGAATTAAGGGTGCAAATGGGAAAGATGCAGATACCCAAATTTAGGTATGTCCTAACAATCGCCATGGTACTAGAATAGAAAAGGGATGCAATAAAAAATACTTAGTAAATGCTTTAGGACCTTCTCAACTAAGCACTGATAAGAAAGACATCTAAGAGACTTAGAAAGCTGCTCCAGTCGTATAGTTTGGAAAAGAAATTGGGGGAGGAATTGCACAATAGGCACACACCTCGAAATATCCTAAACCACAAGTATAAAGCGAAAACAACCTGCTCAAGAATAAAAATCAAAAAAAAAAATAAAAAAAAAAGAATAAAAGTCCAAATCTCCAGCAAAAGGGGTGGATAATACCTGAACAAGATCCTTCCTTCCAACAAGCAAGGCGGAAGTGGCATTCTTCTGACACGTTTCTTGGATATCATTTACATTCAATCTGAAATTTAAAAAGAATTTAGGGGTTTCTTTCTAGTCTAACTTCCTAACTCAATTACTCCTGGTTTAACAAATAGACCAACAACTGCCTATTTGGTTATCACTCAAAAGGTTTTATTTGTACTGGCCTAAAGCTCCCTTTCCACATAACATGAAGAAAATGCTTAACTACTCGCGGATGTTATGTTGTGGGTTCAGGCCTGGGAAAGTGAAATCACTCACCTCTTTGAGACAGGACAGGAGGCCAGACCCAAAGGCCAATTTGCTAACCCGGTTTTCTGTGGAGTTCCCCAGGCTCAAGGGTTGAATAACAATGGATTTAAATATGTGCAACACTGTAGTTTCTAATACGAAGAGTAGTACGCTGTGTATATACTACAAAATAAGTACTTTTTGTTATGTGTTCAAGTTCAGGAAGAAGAGGAACCACAGGCCGGCCTCTGTATACTTGTCACTCATCTCCCAACTCCCTTTAACCAAAGTGGCTCTGCTTTATCTGTTTTGCTGATTGGGCTTGGGAGGCAGAACTCTGAGGCTACTCCCAAGATTTCTGCCCCTGCTATTAAGTACCTTATATAAGTCCCTCTCTTTAAATGCAGGTGAGACCAGCAAATACTGATGGGACATCACTTCCATGACTAGGTTATTATTAATCAGTCGACTCTCAATTTGTCTAAAGGGAGATTATCCTGAGTGGGCCTTACCTAATCAGGGCATAGTTTAGAAAGAAGGTGCAGCATCAGTGAGACACTGCTGCTGGTCTCAAAGAGGATGAAATTCACCAACTTCCGTGGCTGCAAGGAACTGAATTCTGCCAACAACCTGAATGAGCTGGGAAGAGGATCCCAACCATTGGATATGTGTACCACCTGGTCAACTCCATGACTTCAGCCTGGTGAGACCTGAGCAAGGACCCAGCTAAGCCATACCCAGGCTCCTGATCCATGGAAGTGTGAGATAATAAATGTATATTGCTTTAAGCCATTAAGTCTGTGGTAATTTGCTATACGGCAATAGGAAGCTAATACACTGGACTTCTCCTAAAACTGCTTTTGAAGAAAGGGTTCCAATACTTAAAAAAAAACAAAAAAACAAAAAACAAAAAAACCTTTGATAATTATGCCTAAGTAATAATAAGCAAGGCATACTTAAAATTTTGAACTTACATGTACAATTCTCCCAATGACTTGTGAACAGGAAGAAGGCATGCAATATCCTGGATGATAACTTTCCCAGCAGCCTTGATTGGTCGATTGCCCGAGTCCGATCCCTCGCGCTTACTTTTCCATCTCCTTGATTTCTAGGGGGAGATGACAAGCTATAACTAATGGGAACCTTGCTGAATGGAAACCTACAGTTACAGACACATCTTAGTTGGGTCATTGGTAACTTGCAGAGACTTTGCATTACATCATGCCCACAATTACATGAATCAGCATCTGCAGGAAATAAAAGGATGACAAAGGGCATTGAGCTCTTGGTTCCAAATCCCAACAGGAAAACAAGCACCTACTGCAGAACTGTATATGCAGCAGGTGATCACAAACAGATACCTTGAAGCCAGAATTTAAAAAAATAAAGAAGAAAAAGAACAGCAGGTAAACAAGTTAGTAAAGACCACAAAAATGTGGGAGAAGAGCAACTTTTAAGGCTGGGTTCAGCCCCAGGTTCAAAGTTCTTGTTTGAAACTAATCAAAGTTTGTTTGTTTTTTCCTTCTCAGAGAGTTTTAATAGGATATGTTGAGAATTTAATCCAGACACAGTAGCATGGGCCGTGCAAACCTTAATCTACGGTAGGCAGACAGAAAACCTTAGCAGCTCACAGAAAATTACCCCGTTTTTCCTAGCGGACTTGAATTATTTCTAAAAGTGATGATTTCAGAATGTCAAAACCACTGGAGTAGAGGGATGTGGGTAATGGACATGGAAGATCAGGAGCAATTATCCTATTTCCCCAGAGCCTTACCTACAAATGGCTACAGAGGAGTCTACCATATGTGGGAAATGAGAGATGTCCTGGAAAATGAGAATTATTACAGTGTAGCCCCATCTGGTACCTTTAAAATGACAACCAGCCAAGAGAGTGAGATTCTGGTTTTTTTTCATTGCCAGAAATTAAAAAGGGGGCCACCAAGGTGATTCAACGCAGAAGGGAAGTGACATATTTATTAACAAAGGAGGCAAAAGGAGCTAGTTTAAAGGGCCTGCAATTCTGTGTCAGAAAAACCAAGGTTGACTGGTCTTTTTGCCACATGTACTGGTTCAAGAGGACCCCAGGAAAGTTACTTATTTGCTGTGAGTGTAGTCTCCTATCACTCTCTTTTCGCTCACTGACAGCTTGTGGCTCAGGGTAAGCTGTTGTTCCAATCTCACCAGGCTAATAAGGGAACAATGGAAAGGTGAGAGCACACATGGTGGAAACTGAAAAAGTACAATTTTAAAATCTGTAACCTTTAGGAATATGTATAAACCTTCAGGAATTTAGATGAGATCATTATTTAGATTATTCACAAGTTCATTTTCCACAAGTGATTTTTATACAATCACTCGTCCATAAATTAGTCACACCAGGCATTTCTGGCCACTGATGTCCCATCTAATCCACAAAGTTGCCCAATGCATGTAACTTCCTATAGGATTAGGAAGTGTTATGGGAACCTACTAAATCCAGGACACTGGGACTTAGTTCATGGAAGATAAATGAAGTTTAGCTGAAGTATCTGAATTGCTTATCATAATTGGTAAATACGTTTGTGACATTATCAATACGGACCTTAACCCATTTGATCTTAAGAAGCAGTTCAGTTACTATTTATCCATACAGAAGACATTACTCTGCAATACAAGAGGAAGCTTAATCTATGACTGTGGGGGAGCCCTTCAATTCTCTGCTAACCCTTGGTTATTTTCTGAGTAAGAATTATGACTGTACTCACAGAAACACTATCCTTTTAGCCACAAATATCCTGACGTGGGTGCAAGTAAGGGGAGAAAGTGCTAAAGAGCAAACAACCTGTCAGAATGGGCTGGAGCCAGGCCTTGCTGACCGACACAAAACTATGTCGTCACGGGTGCACTATGACATGACTGCTTTTAGGTAGGGTAATTGGGCATCCACCCATCCAGCAGTGACATAAACACACACTCATTTCATTGTGATTTTCATCCTGGTTTCCAGGAGTTTAAAAAGCCCAGGAAATGACAAACCCAGGGGTCTCACATAATTGGTCATCTCAGATGAGATTTAGGGTACTGGGGAGAGGGAGAGAGAGAGAGAGAGAGAGAGAGAGAGAGAGAGAGAGAGAGAGAGAGAAAGAAAGATCTACACTAAAAAGATCTGATCAAGAAGAGAATATGATCCATGTAATTTGGTCTTCAGGTTAGTTGGAAGGCCTCTAAAACACTGTTCTAAGTGGTGACTCTGACTCTATTACAAAGAGAGAATGAGAAGCACTTGAACAACTGAGCAATTCACTACAACGCCATTTAACTAAACGGGCAATAAACGGAAGTCTCATGAGGGATGGGGTCTACCGCTTTCAGACCACAGTGAAAACCACAACTTCCTGACTTTTGAAGCAAACCTAATGAAAATATAATATTAAGTGGTTCATTTGCAAATAGACTAGCTCATTTTAAACTGGTTTTCCTAGCAGAGACTTGAATTATTTCTAAAAATGATCATTTTAGAATGTCAAAAGTACTTGAGCCAAGGGATGTGGATAATGGACATGGAAGATCATGAGCAATTATCTTATTTTTCCCCAGAGCCTGACCTACAAATGGCTACACGGGAGCCCATATGTGGGGAATGAGAAATGTCCTAGACACAAGTCCAAGTGTACAGATGTTTGACTTAGGATTTAAAGGCTTGCCTGTTATTATCAACAGCATTAGCTCCTGCTACAGACTACTCACTCTATGCGAATTGAGCCTCAGCACACAGCTCTCTGACAGAGGGCATGGCCTCCATGACTCAAGGCTACACTCCTAAGAGCTGAGATTTGAACACAAGCCTGTCAGGCTGCTATACCCATACTTGTTAATCTGTTTTTAAGAGCATGACTTTCACATAAAAAGGAAAAATAAATAAGTCCTGACTAAGCCACCTGTTACTATGTAAATAGTTTGGTCCACTGTTAAATGGATCCACTTCTGCATATAAGGAAATCAACGTCTGATTCTAGTGAGGCCTATCCAACACGCCATCATCTACACTTACTCACTCCTAAAGTCACTTCTCTGCCAAGCATCATGACTGTTCTGCTGAGCCAGGGCAGTGTGCTGAAGACCGGCAAAGGCAAGCAGCTTCCGGGCTCCCTGGCTTCCCAGGGACATGCCAGGCTCAGACTCAGATGCTGATTTTTCAAGCCGGGCTCAAGAGCCTGCACCTCACCCTGTTTAATCTCCTTTCTGGATCTGTTAAGATCAGGTACATTCACAGAGAAGAATCAGAGTCCAAAGAGATGTCTTAGGACTCTTCCCCCATTTGCAGTCTTGGGTTACAGAGATCGGCAGAAACAAACCAGTGTGCGTTATCAGTAAGGACTCAATGAAAATGTAAAAATGGTGGTCTTGGACTACTTTCTGCTATTATGCTTCACTGAACTATGGAAATCAGTCTATATTTCTTGAGACTTCCTTGACAACTTGAGACACCAGGCCTCGAAGTACTTCTCTGTTTGATCTGTACTGATGATGGCATACAGGTGATGTTTTATGGGACCTCGTGAAACTGCCTTTGAGCCTATAATAGGAGAAGCTTCCCCAACACAGCATCACTTAATTATAGCTGCCACCAAGAATCAAACTATAAAAAGCAATTATGGGACAGCACTATTCGTTCATTTAATCCAAATAAGGAATAAATCAAAACATTATCAAAAATCTTTAAAGGGTCACAAAAAAGTTTTGGTTTTTTTTTTTTTAATCTGACAGTTAATGGTTTTAAAATATGAAATATCTCCCATCAGGCTACAGGGGTCACTTGGTAATCCTGTCTAGTGGCCAATTACTCTGGGGATTCAAATAAAACAAAGCTGCCTAAACATAGACATGCTAAGTCTCAAATCCTTGCTGCTCCCTAACAAGCATGGACAGTTTCCCAGGGTGTTTCTTCCAGAGCTTTGGCAGTAAAAAGGGTTCATATTCCATCTACACTTCCCCAAGATTTCCTTTTCCCTTAACAGCTTGCTGGTGATTTTAGGAGTCTCTCTAATCTGTGCAACTGTCAGGTGACAACACACAGAAAACAAGGACACGCCAGGCTGAGGTGTGGCTGATCTCTCCAGGTGAGGGGAGGGCACTATGGCCCAAATGCCCCCAAACTTCCTGTATTGCCCCAGTCCCACACTGACGGGCTAGAAGGTGGATACTTTTCTGTGTGGCAAAGTCGGTACCTCTGGGAGGCAATGGACTCCACATTGCTCTTAGGTCTTCTCAATGCCCCATCAAGAGAAAATGCCCTTCCCCACAGATTTCATGAGCAGGGACTGAGGGAAGAGAGACAAAGCAAGACAGACAAATTATCACGTAGTTGAGCATTGGGATGCTCCTCTGAACATACCAAGAAGGTGTTCATGGAATTACAGGAAAGAGGACAGGGAAGAAAGGAGTCGGGTGGGAGGGGAAGGGAGGGTTGGTGCAAACAGCATTGAATGACAACCAATAGCCAGCTTGCGACTGTACCACCAGTGTTACTGCTACAATCAGAGGCAACATCGATGCCAATAAATGGGTTAAATGTAAATACAGCCCAAGAATAAGCCACCAACTGCTTCGCAGCAACCCCATCAACAATGCATAATCAGCAGAGCGGCAGTGAGTCAAAATGAGTTCCTATTTCAGTAGCAGCAGGAGCCGGGACTGCTGGAAATCAGTGAAGATTCAGCAGCCAGTATGTCCGAGACAGGCTTTTGGAGGAAAAGTGGCCACGCTGGTGGCTCCACCTGCAAGTTGTTGGCAGCAGTGGTACTTGCTGATCAGGGCTCCTGATTTCAACTGGTTTTTGTATGAAAAGGCTATCAAACTGTTTCCCCTATATATTTTTTGACACCAAATGAAATTTATGCTAAAGCCTCAAGGCTGCCTTGCACAGCCTGAGGTCACCATGGCACTACTGAAACATGAAGTGGGCGGGAGAGGAAGACAGAAGAGGGGAGATGGCCAATAGGAGTGAGTAAGAAAGACAGGAAAGGAAGAGAGGATGTCCATACTGGAGGTTTTACTGTCAATACAAAATATTTACTGTCAATACAAGTTTTTCTGGAAAAAAATTTGTTCCAGAAAATTCCCATAGGGTAAAAAATAGCTTATGCGTCGTGTCAATGAAGCAGATGGGCCCTTCCCTCTTTGAATTAGACCAAGACGATAAAAATAGAAAACGGTGGAAGCCTCTTATATCTTCCTCTTGCTTTCCCCTATGCCCAGGGTAGGCTTTTAAAAGCTCTATGAAATTATACAAATACTCCAAATGAAATCAGGTGAGTTAAATAAAGGCTTACAACCAGGGTTCTTTGCAAGAAACCCAATATTACACTTCTTTTTCAAAGAAGTCCATTCACAATCCTTAAGAATATCAGTGTTCCCCCATTTGAGACTGTGATGGAACAAGGACGTGGTCCTTGGTGCCTGACTCCCAAGAGGGAAAATTTATTGTTGCTGGTCCTAAAACCCAGCCAGCCTGTCACTTCAGGTTCCTCAAAGCCAGGCAGGTGGCATTTTATTCTTGGGCCTTTGGGCAGAGACAGGATTAGTCAAGGAGAGCATTTGCACAGCGCACAGTACCGGGAAGTCGTTAATTGCTTGTATGGACCAACGTCGCCGGGCAGAGCGAGGAGACATCTGTGGGTGAAAACGATACACCCAGGAGAAGGGAAGAAAAACACCAAGAAAATTAAAAGGGAAAAATATAGAATAAAATGAAAACTTCCCACACATCTGATGGACTAAAGGGTACCATAATATACTGCAAAATCGGGATTGAAAAGACTAAAAAATCTGAACCTAAGCACAGCAGTGTGTGCATCCCCTCACCTCCCGTCCACCCCATCATACTCCAAACCCAGCTTCAATGTCATCGCTCTTCAGCCCAAAACCCATTTCGAGACATAAGGAGGCACTGCTCTGCCAAAGGAACTATGATCAAGGTCTGCGGTTCTCTAAGCATTAAGGTCACAGCGCAAGTGGAAAAACAGGTGGAAGACTCTGCTTTCCCTTTCAGGAGCACATGTACGTGCGAGAAGATTCTCATTCCTAAAAAGGAAGTTCTTCAGTAGACTCATTACCTCAATTTTCTGGTGTGTGGCTGGGGGGCATTGGGGAAACTGGAAATCTTGACCTTGGGACTGCAGGACTATTTTGAGAGTGATGCCATAGGGAAGTGAGAGCCCCAGGGAAATGTGGGAAAGAGGGAGCTAAGGCTGGGAGGACCTATACTCCCGTGGGCACTCTGGCTAACAACATAAACATCAGTGTAAAACTGGGAGCACAAACACTGACTGTGGAAACCAGAAATTATTCTAGTAACTTCAGGGCCTCTCCAGCTATTTACATTAGAACTATTTTAGTTACATAAACTAAAGCAAATGTGGGAGGTTGCAAAATGGTTTAAATGTTCATAGGGTAATGTCTAATGTTTCTCAGACGTTCTGGGCCTTCCAATTTATCCTTGGAATAAGCAATATTTCACCAGTTATTAATGGTTTGTCCAGTTACCAAATGAATATCAGCATCTCTCTGAGCTTTCCAACTTCCTATGAAATTTCATGGTTTTTTAGGCGTCTCATATTTTTTTAATTTTTAGAAGCAAACCTTGGAATTCCATCTCAAGAACTTTTGGCTGCATATAACAACATGACCTAAGTAGGGCAGGTGAAAAACACAAAAACAAGAGAAATGAACAGTAATCCCCAATGGCTCTATAAAATTTTTTTTGTAATCTCCAAAATATGCTATAATTCCATCATTGCTATACTTAAATGCAGTTATATTCTTTTCCTTTATTCTTACTCATTTAAAGATCTCAGGGGTAGAAATCTAAAAGAGAACAGAAATACATAGGAAACAAAACTGGGCTGAAAATGAAGACTTAGCACAGAGAAATTGAGTAAACTGGAATCATTTCCAGAACAAAAGTAATGAAAGTGATATTACTTGGCAGGTGAAACTAGACACTGGAGGATCAGAAAATACTCCTCAAAGAACAAAACCATATTGCCCTCCATGAAGATACTGGCCAACATCCAAATCATGGCCACATGTCATTTCTTTAATCCTCCTCTTTGGCCCCATGTAAATGGAATGGACATGAACAAGCTTCAATGAGAGATGAATTTATTTCAGATTCATCACACAAAAAACTGACTTACTCATCTTAACTGCTTCTTAGTTTGAACCACATGAAACTTCTCTTTAAGGTAAAAAATGTTCAAATATCACCAATTTCATAAGATTTTAACCTAATAATTACTACACGTCATTCACTGAAAATGTGCCTCCCTTCCCCAGGACTTCTAGGGTTCTTGTAATGTTCTATTTCTTGGCCGGTATGATTGTTAATTCACTGAATTATACTCATCTTATGATTTGTGAACTTTCCTGTACAGACGTTATATAGCAATACAGAAGTTTCATATACAATTATAATAAAAGTGTCTCCCCCCATTTTACTTGATCACTATCTGGAATAAGACGTAAAGACCACTTACTATGTCATCCTGGGGGAATATCTATCATAGCCCATTCTCTGAGGAGAAGTGGCACAACGGGAACCATCCCAAACGGAAATATCACAATTCTTCCTTTGGTCCCTCTTTACGATTACGGTGTTTGTAGTAAAAGAGGCCAGACCATCAAAAACATGAATGTAGGCTTTACAAATGCTTCTGCGTTAGGAGAGGTCCTATTTTGGAACAGGAGTTATTTTGACTCAACATGGCCTTTACACACTAGCACAGAGTCAAAAGCTGGTCCATGTATTTTGCCCAAACCAAACTCAAGCATGAGTAGCTCGTGACATGATTTGAAGGGAATTCAGAACTGCCTCTTTAACTAAAAGATCTCCTCCGCCTGACCCTGGAGCTAAAGAAAATTCCCACATTTATCCAACCATGAGTCTGTTTTGCTAGTATGTGAATTAGAAAATGCCTTAGTTCCAACCAGTTTATTAAATTATCTGATCAGTTACCTGCCAGCTTGCAGAAAAAGAAAAACAATTTTTGAATGCAAAGGACCTGGGAAGATATAGGTGTTCCAAGAAGGTCTGTGATAGCAGGTGGTGGGGGGTGGGGTGGGAGAATTCCATCAGAGATATGAAGGGGACTAAAAATCATTTTCCCTATTGGGCTGAATGGTTTTTCCCAAGACTGGTCTGTATCACACATCAGTTCCTGCCACTCCTTTCAGTCATACAAGCCTAAGACCAGACAAAGTCAGAGATGGGCAGTATGAACTAAGAAGGTTAGATACTATACTGCAATAAGTGAAGACTCCTTAACACTTGCTAGAATTGGTTAGTTAAAATAATTTAATTTAAAATTTTTAATTATACTCAATCATCATTTCTCAATTAGTGGGGGAACAACAACAAAGAATCTCTAAGGACTGAGTTTGTGAGTAGCTCAGTGGTAGCTCTATTTAAAACATCCTGTCAGTTAAAAGCCGGTTTAAGCCAGACTCTCAAACTGACAAGAAAGAGTTCTCAGAATCCTTCCTACGCTCTGCCAACGTTCTCTACATTGTCGTCACCAAAGGTTTCTGACAGCTTAATAGCTACTTTGGGGACGATGAGTTCCTTAAGAACCCAGGAACATAAGGACAGGTTCAGGTAATTTTTATATAAAGTGGTCCGTTCAAATGGTACTTCAGTGTAGATTTAGGAAAAGTATAAAACGTTTTAGAGATCAACTTTAAAATGTCTCAGAACTATGAAGTTCCAAATAGATCAAGATCCTAAGCCTTCATAAACACCCTTTAATTTGTTGACAAACATCAGAATACCAAGGAAAATCTGAAGGTAAATTATTCTATCGGAAAGGATGGGAATCAGCTTAATGAATGGGGATTACAAGGGTAGGGTTAAATGGGGAGAAAAGGCTGTAAATTATAAGACCTATCCATCCCACCAACCTCATACAACTTACATTAAAGCCAATAGAAAGGCACGAAGCAATGGTCTTTCTTTAACAAGCTAATTATGAAAGTGAAAGACTATCGGGGATTACTAATTTAGCTGCTATGTGAGACAAAGAACAAGAACCCAGGGAAGGGAGAAGAATCAAAGACGGTGATGGCTCAGCTGCTTACCCGCTCCTTGTAGTAGAAGGAGCTGATGGAGACCTGCTCTTTCTCACTGCGAGTGGGGCTCCCACTGTATAAACGAAGGTTCCCAGGAGCCTCTGTGCGGATCTTCATTGGCGCAATCAAGCCAGTATGATAAGCAGACAAGGCTGAGAGTGATCTGTGGTTGAAAATGCAGAATTACCCATACTGGCTTCAATCTTTCCATATTGCTAAGTAGTGCTATTCTTGGCACTTAATGAAACCAAGAGGAAAAGATGGATAAAATGGAGGGAAAAAAATGGAAACTCCAAAAAAAGAACAAATAGAACTTTTAGAACTGAAAAATGCTTTATCGGCTGAAGCAGAGAATGTTTCTATGATTATACACATGGAAAATTCAAAGGAATCTACAAACTACTAAAACTAATAAGTGAATTTAGATACATCAATCTATAAAAATCTACTGTATTTCTTCTATATATTAGAAACAAACATTTGGAAAATAAACATTTTAGGGCCGGCCGAGTGGCGCGATGGTTAAGAGCTGGCTTGGGACGCCAGAGGCCCTGGTTCGGATCCCACATATGAGGGCCAGTGACACTGCCCTCTACAGCTAAGATGCTGAACAACAGCTCAACCTGGAGCTGGGCTGCCATGAGTCGCCGGTGACGGCGTAGGCTGCAGCCCCTGCTGCAGTGGGTTGCCATGGGCTACTGTGTGTAGCCAGCAGCTGCCGTGAGCAGCTGTCCAGAAGCCGGCGACTGATCTGCCTCGCCCGGGAAGAGCGCAATGATGGTGCCAACTTGGGCCAGTGAAGCAACGTCCTCCACAACTAGCCTGAAGAACAAAAGGACAGCAACTTGTCTGTTCCCCTTCCCCCAAATCCCCAGCACTGTTCCCATCCCCCCAATTCCCCAATGAAAACCTTTAAAGAAAAAAATTAAATTAAATAAACATTTTAAAAATTTCATTTACACTAGCATCAAAATACCTTAAGTACCGAGGAAAAAATTTAATGAAAAAAATGTGTGTTGAAAATACAGACCATTGCTGAGAGAAATTAGAGACGACCCAAAATAGCAGAGAAGTATACTATGTTAGTGGATTGGAAAATTCCATATTGTTAAGATATCAATTTTCTGCAAATTGATCTACAGAGTCAACACAATTCCAATTTCTCGTAGAAACCAATAAGCTGATTTCGTATTTTTACAGAAATGCGAAGGACCTAGAATAGCCAACACAATCCTGAATAAGAATAATAAACTTGAAGGACTTAACACTACCAGATTGGAAGACCTGCTATATAAAGCTACATAAGAGTGTAGTGCTGGCATAAGGAGAGACCAATAGATCAAAGGAAAAAGTAGAGATGCACAAACATATAGTCAATTGATTTTCAACAAAGTTATCAATGTGAATTCAATAAGAAAAGGAAAATCTTTCCTATAAATGATCCTGGAACAACTATATATCTCTGCTGAAAAAAATAAACTTTGAAGAATATTTTCATGACCTTGGAGTAGGCAAAGAAAGCACTAACCACAAAATTTTAAAAGTGGTAAACTGGACTGCATCAAATGAAAAATTGCTATTTATCAAAAATTTACTAAGGAGGAAAAAAGAAAAGCCACAGATTAGAAAAAAATCAACACATACATTAGCAAAGGATTTTGCAACCAGAATAAAGAACTACCACAAATAAAGAATAACAAAATATTCCAAAAAAATAAAATGGACAAAATACCTGAACAGGCACATCATAAAAAAAGATACCCAAATGGTCAATTAGCACACAAAAGCGGCTCAACATCATTAGTCATCACCATGGAAGTGCAAATTAAAGCCACTATGAGATAATACTGCACACCCACCACAATGGCTAGTTGAAAAGCTTGAAAAACTTCAAGTTTTGGAGAGGATGTGGAGCAACCAGAACTCTGAAACACTGCTAGTAAAGAGTGTAAAATGACACAACCAACTGGGGAGGGACGTTTTGGCAATTCTATTAAAATTAAACAAACATACAGCTATCCTATGACCCAGGGATTCGACTCCTTGGGGAAAGAAATTAATATCCATGTCCACAAAGACTCGTATGTGTAGATGGACACATAATAGCCCAAAACTAGAAATTAACCAAATCTTCATCAATAGGAGTATGAATAAACTGTATTATTTTCATACAGTAGAATTACTGATACAGCAACAATGTGGATCAATTTCAAAAACATTAAGCAAAATAAGCCAGACATAAAATACTGCATGCTGCATGATTCTATTTAGATGAAATTCAAACACAGGCAAAAGTAAACTGCAATGATGGAAGGAAGAGGAGCAGTTTCCTATGGGTAAAGGGACCAGGGAACTTTTGGGGTGAGGGCAATACTCTGTATCTTGATCTGGGTGCTGGTCATCAAGGTATAATTTCACATTTGTATGCTGTAAATTATATCTCAATAAAATACTGTTAGCATAAAAAAATGTTCAAATAGGAACATTTTCCCCTCTGATCCAAAGCCAGATATAGATATTCTTGTTTCCCTTTGAGAGTAGGTGTTTGTTTTCTAGTCCAACCTTTTCAAATAAGGAACCCAGTGTAATGTAGGGGGTCTCTGGCATTTAACTCCCAGTTCTTGTGGGGCCAAGGTCTCATCAGTCTGGGTTACTGCAGAGACTGGCAAAGTAACACCTGTTCACGCACTTGGTTCAATCTCCTTTCTTTCTTGTGAGCTCAGTTATTTGCTCGCAAGTATATTATTATAATCACATTACACCAAGATATCCAGGTGTTTGTAACAGGAGGGTTTCCACGTCATCTTGGTTACTACACTGCACAATCAGAAGTCTATGGTATATAACTTACAATATTTAAGTTTAAAATAACCAGTAATTTGGGAGAAGTTGTGTGCGTTTGGGGACTGGGGAACATGAGAACTCTCTGTACTATCCACTCAATTTGGCCCTGAACCAGGGGTCAGCAAACTTTTGAGACGAAAGAGCCAATCCTGTCCCTCACAACAATTTAAAAATTATTCAAGAGCCATAAGACAAATGAAATCATCATACGTGAATAACATCCTTTAAAAATTTTATAAATGAAACTATGATAGTTTTATTTTCATTTTCAATTTTACTTCAGAGCCACATGTACGTATCCAAAGGGCCGCCATGTGGCTTGCGAGCCGCAGTTTGCCAACCCCTGCCCTGAACCTAAAATTGCTCTAAAAGATAAAGTTTATTAATTATGAAAAAAAACAAAAACACTTCACATTACACCTGCCATCTCCCAGACTCACCTCGGAGTAGGTTCTGTTGGAGACACTGCTCGATGCATCGTCATAGGCCTTGTGAAATACACCAGATAACCTGACAAAGGAGATATCACATGTGCACATGAGCTGCATGTGGGAAACCCTAAGATAGCACTGGTCAATCTTTTGTCTATCTCAATGTACCTGAAGGATACAACACATTTTCATGACGTGCAAAGGCTCATGACTGCAGCCATATTTAAACCTCCATTGGGTGCAATTGATCTCACAGATTCACTGCACACAAAGATGCCGCTACGAAATACATCTTTACTGTACTAAGTCACAAACACGACTGGCGATAGGTTACGGGAGAGGGGGAAGATATGGAAGCGATGAGTCATGATACTTAACTGTTAGATATTTGAAAATTTGTGTGCAATGAATCTATGAGATCAGTTGGGCCTAATGGAGCGTTAATAAGGACAAAGGTCAGACTCTCCAGGACCCAGCAGAGACAGAATACATGTGGTTTGGAAAACGTCTTTGCAGGTACTTTTTATTTCCTGGGCAGGGGACCTGTCCCCTGTTGAGAATCAGGGCTCTAAGTAAGACTCAAAAACTGTGTTCATCAAGACTGTTATTCTGGTGAACACTCTCAGAATATGTCCACAGACACCAATTCAGCATCAGACAATATAAGCACTACTACAGAAGTCTTCCGAGTTCTTAGAAAATAAAAACAAAGAAAAATTGTCTGATAGGGATTTTTATATAGACTATATGACATTCTTAGCTGATCGCTCTCAAAATCTAGACTCATAAAACCAAAATGAGACCAACCTGCTCCACAGAACCTGGCCCCCGAGGTCCTAGGAAAAGGAATATTGGCATCCTGGTATGACCCATAGGCAGTGGTTACCCGGGCAAACGTGGGTAACGGTGGTGTGACAGAGTTCGGGAGTGCAAAGGGGTTGCTGGAAGCACTGTCTTCTTGGTTCTGAAATTTTAAAATCAACAGACTGAAACCCACAACTTGTCTTAATGTGGAATTACAAAATAAAGATACATTATTACAAAACCAGAGCACCCAGGAGTTTAGGAAGAAATGAAACAAAACACCAAAGCGTAGGTTGGTACAAGAATCTCACCACAAAAGACTCAAGACAGGAGACAAGCTGGCGCAGGCAGGGTTCCAGACAACTCTGGTTGCGTTTCACTTTTTGCAGGGACGTGTCTTTCAGGATCTGGAAAAGGTACAAAACACAGTCAAAAATAGCAACTTTTTTTCTCCTGATTCACTTTTATTTGGAAGCAGTGAAGATACAGGGAGATTGGAGCATGGCTGTGCCTGAGGCTTCCAAAACAACAGCCTATGTTCTACCTTCTCTAGAGGCTGAAAGAGAAGATTCGTTTCTGAGCCCACTTTAAGATGCCCTTTTCTTAGCCAGGGTAGGCATGCACGCTGGTTTTGAGAGGGCACATTTCTATAACGGAACGACTATTCTTTATTTATAGTGAATTCTACTCCTTTCCTCACACCTTGAGAAGTCTCAGTACCTTAGAAGTAACACCTGCTGGGCTGAACTGAAAATTGCTCTAAGCGAGCAATACAAGACAGGGGGAGCAGATTTCACTTTAGCAAAAATTATAATGTATCCATTTTTTTTTGGTTCTTGAAAAATATAAATCATTTTAAGGCACATGTTGTAGATATAAAGCGACATATACATACTTAAGATAGGCATGTAAATTGGATCTGTACTGTCCAAAAGTCATTACCTACATGGGGACACTGAGCACGTGTTTGAATTGAGGTGTGCTATAAATTAAAATGCATAACGAATGTTAAAGACTTAGTACAAAAAAACAAAAAAGAATGCAAATTATCTCAATAATTTTAATTTTCATATTGATTACATGTTGCTATAATACTTTGGATATACTGGATTAAATAAAAATATTACTGAAATTAGCTTACCTGCTACTTTTAATTTTTTTTTTAGTGTGACTACCAGAAATTTTAAAATTCATGTGGCTTGCATTATATTTCAATTGGACAGCACTGAATTGGACCTTTAAAGATGCTTCCTAGTCCTACCATTTTTATACCAACAGAAAAATCTTTTTTTGTATGTCAAAATGAGACCATGAAATATTCAAATTCCTAGTATAAAATGTCAAATACCACAAAAATCTGAGTAATTAGCATTTCAGAGAGCCTTATGACACTTGAAAAATTTCTTGGTTACAGGTCATATTCTTAGGAAGATGAATCAAGTGTGTATGAAACTAGGCAAGTTAGCATTCAGGCCAGCTTGGTTTTATGAAGACATTTTTATGACTTCGTATGTGACATTGCTCACACTGAAAAGGGTATATCATCCCCACCTCATAGGGCTTTTTCATGGGGATTCTGGCTGATTAGTTCTGCATGAACTGACAAAGTTCTGCATGAAATTTCTGAACCTGTAAGGGTAAAGACCAGATGCCAGGCTGTACCACCTCCACTGAGGCACTGCCATCCTTTCACACATTCACCCGGGCAGCCAGTCAGCCTCACTCTACAATGGCACCATCTCTTTTTATGAGATGGTTTTTTTAAACGACCTTCTGTATGTTTTGTCTATAAGTACCTTTTGGCTTCAGAAAACATCTTGCCTATTGTTTCCAGATAAATGAAATTGTATTGCAGGATTTTTTTTTTTCAGCTGAGCCATCCTGCTACCTGTTGGCAGCTCAGCAGCAGCTCAGCTCGGGCCAGGCATCGAACTGCTGTTGCTCAGAGCTCAAACTCTTGAGCGAGCTCTTAACCAACTGAGCCACTCGGCTGGCCCCCATTGCAGGATTTTTAACTTGGGATTAATGCATAGCTTTAGTGAAATCTGTGAGCAGATTATATGCAATTACAGAACTGCATATTATTCATAGGCAATATTTCTGAAGTTACATGCAACATTTGTGCCAATTTTTCTGGGAAGGGTCAATAGTTTCCATCAGACTTCCAAAGGGGGTCCAGGACCCTAAAAGGTGAAGAACCACTGCTCTAAGGTTTTCTACACAAAATAAATAGCAAGTGTTAACACTGCAATGTGTAAGGACAAATGGCTTCCAAATAGTATCTATCAGAGTTTTCATTCAACTTTACTCCTCAACTCAGATACTCATGCACGTGAGCAGAGCTCTCCTCTTACAACATCAAGGAGAATCTGAACACAGGTCCCACCTTTAGCAGCTTAGCTTTCATTGTGGATGTGATGGTTGTGGGGTTGATAAACTGGAAGGAAGGGGCAGCGTTGTTTGGGTACTGTGCAGGGAACTTCACCAGCATCTTGACGCGATGACTGCTACAGTGCACAGACACGGTACAGCTCCTGTCTGCTGCGTCCATCTGCAAAGGACAAAGTGACAATTGCTCTGGAGACAATCCACAAAGGACTTCTAAATACAAATGGAATGCTGAATGCTCTCAGTTTCTGGTATCTCCAAAGATGAAGGAAAAATCTCCAAAGACAAATGAATTTGGAAGAGTTGGACAGCTCATTTTCAAAGTTAAATTTTTAATTTTAGCATCAATGTAATAAGTTCTACATATTTTGACTTAAAACACTTCATCCTAAAGCTGTGAGGGAAACTTGTCATATTTATGCAGAGACAAGAAAATAAAACAGGAAAAGAGTTAAATATCTAACAAGTTAACAAGTGCTCCCAGGAAAATCTATAGAGACAAAAAGTAGATTAGTGGTTTCCAGAAGCTGGGGAGAGAGGGAAAAGGGGAGTGACTGGTCATGGATATAGGGTTTCTTTTGGGATGATGAAAAGGTTCTGGAAATAGATAGTGGCAATGGTTGCACAACTTTGTGAATATACTAAGAACCACTAAATTGTATGCTTTAAAATGATAAATTATGGTATGTGAATTATATCTCAATAATTTTTATATTTTTAATAATTATATCTCAATGATTCCTGGGAAAGGAATCAATATCTCCTTCTTAAACTAGATCACCAGATAGCAACCCTGTTTTCAATGGGGACAAAGGAATATAAACTGAGTTGATAGAAATAACTAATTAATCAAAGATCCTTTATCTATTTTGCTTTCTTATGCTGCCAACTTGAGAAGACACCTGAATTACAGTAAAAAAAGACACACACGTGGGAAACCTGGAGGCCTGGATTCAAATGTTATCTCCTCCACCAAATAGCTGCTGACCTCAGACAAGTCATTTCGCCTCTTATTGTCTACGTTTCCTGATCTGTAAAGTGGGGATAAAAGCACTTATTGCAGAGCTGTTTTAAAGGTCAAATGAGATAATTACTAAGTGCACATATCCATGCCCACTGTTAACTGAATCTGGGCAAAAGAAAAACTAATCAAGTTTTAAAACTCCTTTTTAGAGAGAGACTCAACTCTCTGAACCAAAGAATTTTGATACCTGCTCAAAAGGAAAAGAGTGAACCTCTCCATGTGTGAAATAAACGAAGGGGCTTGGTCACCTTCTTACTCTGAATCTAAATCACCAAGGACATGACCGGATTTAAGGGAAGATCATACAGCAAAACACCAAAAAAGCCCTGGAGAGTCGGGAAATTTGGTTTCCAAACTTAGCTCTGCCATTAACTTCACCAGTAACTGCTGTGCCAAATCACTAAGCCTTCCAGGATGTAAGTATCATCACATACGGTACAATGAGGTGTCAGAGCATCTAAGATTTTAAGACACATGAGTATAAGCTTATCCCTTAGTTTGTATTATGAGAAAGTAACATGGTAAGAAAAAAAAAATCTGCATTTATAAAACATCTATTTCTTTAGAAAACCTAGGAAATAAGAAAGCAAGCTGAGAGACTTACCTATTAGAGCAGCAAAGGTATTACCTAGCCAAAATCGTAACTGAAATAGTCCCCTGCCCCCCCACACACACACACACACACACAGCTGCCACCTGCAAGCATGGGAGACAGTTGGTTAAACTCTGAGTACCTCCACATTGACATTCCGGATCTGCACATTGATCAGGGAGAACTCCTGCTGCAGAGTCTGAGGCAGTCCCAGTTGATCTGATTTCTTCTCTTCCAGGAGATTGCTTGGGGGGTCTTCCTTTAAGACTAGCAGGAGAAAGGGGTTCAATTGTTGGGAAATGTTTTGAAATTGAGCCAGAGAGCAAGTTCTGGGGTATCTTTATCTTTTACAACTCTGAAATGCGTAGAGGGGCACCTCACCTACAATAAAACATCAGTTTGACCAATTACCTTCCTCCTCTCCATGGCTTGAGATGTGCTGGTGATCTGTGTCTTGAGTGTGAAGGATCTTCTCTGGTTCCGGCAGAAGAGAAATGCTCTCAATGAACTCATCAACACCATCTAATATGTCATTTGCACAGAGCTGCAACAAAGGGTAGAAGATGTAGGTCTAGACAAGCCAGTGGAAATGATCATCATGTTTGGTTAGAGTTCTAACTTAAAAATGAAAATCACGGGCCGGCCGAGTGGCACATTGCTTAAGAGCTGGCTTGGGACACCAGAGGGTCCCAGTTCGGATCCCACATATGAGGGCCAGTGACACTGCCCTCTACAGTTAAGATGCTGAACAACAGCTCAACCTGGAGCTGGGCTGCTGTGAGT